TGCCCAAGCAATATGTGTCCTGATCTTCTGACTGCTGATGCCAAGAGTATTGGCTATAGATCCAAGAAAGATGAAATCATCGATCATTTCAATCTTTCCTTTGTCTGTCAAGCTATTCCTTAAAAAGGTTTATCATATTTGGAAAATGCAGGATCAGCGAAAAAGAGGAAGAACCTCAAGGAGATAGATTGACACAGTGACTGCAGCAATGGGCTCAAACACATCAGAGATGGTGAAACGGCACAGGATAGAGCAGGATTCAGGTCTGTTGTTCATAGAGTCAATAGGAATCATACTTGACTCAAAAGTACCTAACAATCATGAAGTTGCTTATTGATCTGACAGTGAGGATTTGTCTCCGTGATGTTGAGGAGAAAGGCTATAGTCTTTGATCTTCCATAGGAAGCTCTTCAAGTCCTCCTCATTTTCAGCACGCAAGGTTGTGTCATCTGCATAATGTAGGTTACTAGTGATTCTTCCTCCAATCCTGATGCCACGTTGTTCTTCATAGAGGTTATTTTCTCAAATTATTTGTTCATTATACAGACTAAATGGGTAAGAGGAAAAGATACAACCCTCATGCATTTCTTGCTTGATTTTAAACCATGCAGCGTTCCCTTGTTCTGTTCAGACAAAAACTTCTTGGTCTAGGTTTCATATGATCATAATTAAGTGTCCTGGGATTCCCATTCTTCTCAATGTTTGTTATGATCCACACAGTCAAATGCTTTTGCATAGTCAATAAAACAGAGACATTCTTCTTGTATTTTCTGCTTTCAGCCAGGATCCATCTGACAAAAGCAATGATATACCTGGGACCATGGCCTCTTTTAAATCCAGCTTGAACTTCTGGTATTTCTGTGTCGATGTATCATTCTAGCCATTAATGGGCAATTTTCAGCAATATTTTGCTTGCAGGTGTTATCAATGGTATTGTTCAGTAATTCCCACATTCTTTTGGATCACCTTTCGTAGGAATGGGAACAGAGATCTTTTCCAGCCAGCTAGCCAAGTAGATGCCCTCCAAATTTCCTGGCATAAACTAATGAGCACATCCAGGGCTGCATCTGTTACCTGAAACATTTCATATGGTATCCCTAAATTCCTTGGGTCTTTCTTTTTTTGCCAGTGTCTTCAATGCTGTTGAATTTCCCTCATCACCACTGGCTCTTTATCATATGCTACTTATAGAAATATATTAGTGTTGAAATATTCTTTACAGTGACTCTGTGTATTCTTTAGTTCTTCTTTTGATGCTTCCTGGATCATTTAAAATTTTGTCCATAGAACCTCAGTATTGCAACTTGAGGCCTGAATTTGTTTCTCAGTTCTTTCAGCTTGAGAAATGCTGAGCAAATTCTTCCCTCCTTATCCTCCAAATCCAGCTCTCTGCACATTCTGATTTCATACTTTGCTTAGCCTTCTCAAGCTGTCCTTTGAAATCTTCTGTTCTGTTTGGTTGCTAACAGAGACATCGGTGGTTCAAACTCACCACTTGTTCAATGGAAGAAAGATAAAGTAGTCTATTTCCATGAAAACCTGCAGTCCTAGAAACCTTTTAGGGCAATTCTACTTTGCCATGCAGGGTTCCTATGAGCTGGAACCAAAGTGATGGCAATGAGTCTATGTCTATGTGTGCCACAACAGTAGAACCGAGTAATTTAAACAGAGAATGTATAGCTCATAAAGCCTAAAGTGTTTACTCTGTTGTTTTACAGCCTTGAAATCGGATGGAGGGTTGTCACAAAGAGGAATTGACTCAACGACACTAGAGTTTTGGTTTTTAGCTCTTTAGAGGAAAATCCTCTTGGCTCTATTATTTTTAACCAAGATAATACTTGAAGAACCACTATCTTTTTCAAAGCGAAAAACCTAGAATTCAAAGACATTAAGTGACCATCTCAAGATCACAGTTCAAGCTGCAAAGCCTGAATTTGAACCCAAAATTCACTCAGCATATCTAATATATTAGCTGTCTCTAAAAATACATGTAACCAAGACAATGTAAGTGTCCAGTCTGACAAATAAAGGAGGTTGGAAAGTGTATTCACTTAACAGAATTCTTGGCAACTAAACAAGATGATAAGCTAAGATAGGAATCAGAGCAACTACTTATTTAGGAGAAAAAGTAGGTTACAAAACTAACTTTTGTGGAATTTCCAATTAAATTAAACACATGCTGTTTTTCCCTTTCCCACTCAAAAGGCAGTCTAAAATCAGAAAACATCAGTTTGAACAACATAAACCTACAAGCAGAAAATGTACAACATGCCATTTAGATAAGAACCAAATGCTAGAAAGAAGAGGTATGAAGGGCTATTGGCTAAGCAGATCAAAGGAGGCCAGAGCAAAAGCCTGCAGTGAGGAAAGCCCAAAACCAAAAAAAGCATATTATACGATCCCACAAGTGTCTCAGGAATTGGAGGTACGAGACCTCTGAAAATGAAGGTGAGGCTGGGAATGATAACAGGAAAATTGGTTGATGGTCTGAAATAAAAATCCTTCCTCTATCTAGCAAAAAAATCAAGACTCGTTTTCAGGAAAGTTGAATCAAGACACTTTGGAATAATCAGGGACAATACAAAGCCTACGTGGGGCAGCATCATGTTATTTGTTTTCCTCTTCTTACTGTGATGATTTGTGTGAGCAGTATTACATACCGAGCAATGAGGATCATAGACACGCCCCTCAACTTGACTTTCAAATACCATCAGGCAGGGGGTTTGCGGGGTGGTGGTGGTGTCCATCTATATATCTAATTGGGCTCAAAGTCTACACACCCAGAAGTCCAAATACTGTTGGGGTCTGTTATTTTAAATGTGGTTAAAATTCATTCAACAAAAATCGTGCCATTTCATATGTATAATTCAGAATGTAATTTGATTAGTTACATCTTCTAAGGAGCTCTGAAGTTGTAGTGTATTACATCTTGGGTTCCTAACCAAAAAGTGGGGGTTATTATATTCTGTCCCTCCAGTGGGTTTTCAGAGGCTGTAAATCACAGGGTAGGAGGCTGTCCAGCTTTCTTCAGTTGTTCTTGAACAACCTACCTGTAAGCTGGCTTTGCAACTCCCTACGGACTAGGCCACCAAGAGCTCACCTGTAGATACACAGCTTAGGAAATTTGAAGGAGTATCACCAGGAATCAAAATTAACTCACAGCAGTGGTTATGCTGTACACCACCACTAACTATCCCTTTCAAGTTTTTAATTCTTAGGGCACACAGTTTAGCATGTTCAGTTGCTACCTAAAGGCTAGAGGTTCTATTCCATTCAGAGGTACCTCATAACAAAGTCCAGGTGATCTACTTACAAAAAAAATCAACTACTGAAGAGCCAATGCAGTACAGTTCTGCTCTAACACACAAAAGTCATCATGAGTTGGAACTGACTTTTGAACAACTGGTATTGGTAAACAGAAACTCAGTAACCCCTTAAGCAATAACCTGCCATTATTCCCATCCTTCAGACTCTACTAGAAATCATTCTGAACTTTTGTTCCTATGCATTTCCCTATTCTAGATAGTTCATGTAAGTTGTTGCTGCTATGTGTCATTGACTGGAACTCACAGTGACCCTACACACAACAGGTAACAATCTTGTCCTATTCTGCACTCTCATGATCTCTGCCATGCTTGAGCCTACTGTCAGTCACCGCGTCAATCTGTCTCCTCGAATGCCTTCCTTTCTTCGGCTGACCCTCCACCTATCCAAACATCATGTCTTTTTCCAAGGACCTGCTCCTCCTGACAACATGCCCAAAGCATGTGAGACAAAATTTCACCATCCTTGCCTCTAAAAAGCACCCTGCTTGTACTTTCTCTAAGACATATTTGTTATTTGGCAGTTCATGGGATAGGCACCATTCTTTGCCAACATAAATCAAAGGCATCTATTCTTTGGTCTTCCTTATTCACCGTCCAACTTTCAGACACACAGGAAGCAAATGAAAACCCTATGGCTTGGATCAGGTACATCTGAGTCCTTAAAATGATAACTTTGCTTCTTAGTACTTTGGAGAGGTCCTTAAACAGATTTTCCCAATGCAACATGTCTTTTGATTTCATGACTGCTGCTGCAATGAATGTTGACTGTGAATCCAAGTAATTTAAATTCTTGACAATTCAATTTTTCTCCATCTAACATGTTGCATACTGATCTAATGGTGAGAATTTTTATTTTCTTGATGTTGACAAGTAATCTATATTGAAGGTTTTGGTCATTTGCAACAAAAGTTTCTCTGTATTTTGAGTGAGCAAGATTTTATCACCTGGATAATGTACCTTTTTTTTATGAATCTCCAATCCTGACGCCACATTCTTCTTCATAGAGTAGTATCTCAAATGATTTGCTCAGTACACAGACTGAAGAGGTGTGAGAAAAAGCTATATAACCCTGAAGCACATCATTTCTGATTTTAAATTTTATTCTGTTCAGACAACTGCCTCTTGGTCAGGTTTCTCGTGAGCCCAATCAAATGTTCTGAAATTCCTACTCTCTGCAAATTAAGTCATAATTTGTTATGACCCACAGCCAAATGTCTTTTCATAATCAAGATCACATAACTATTTGTCCTTTCTTGTCAGTTATTTCACTTAGGATGTTTTCTCACTCTTAATCATAAGATCTTGGTGATTATCACACCTATGAAAAAGCTTCTGATGTGAACAAGACAAATATAAAGAGGAAAAAAAACCTGGGGGGAAGCGTCAACAAAAAATATGTCAACTATCACTTTCTAAAAAGAGAGGTGAAGAAAAGTATAGAAATTTTATAAAAATGGAATAGTCAGAAATAAAAGAATCTAAGATAATAAAAATATGGCAACAGAAAAGTTAAAACTGAGCAGCAGAGTTGGAAGTTAAAAATAAGAAACTTAACAATGACTGCAGCAACACAAGGACCCATAACAACAACAACAACAACAACAGTTATATAAAGTACTGCTTTTAATAATCAGAAAAGTAAAAACCCAGATGCTAGGCCTGAGCTTTACTCACCTTTTGGGCTTCTGAATGGGAATCACATTCATCCAAAAATTTTAGCAGGGGAGCACTTTTATTAACAACTGTTCTTCGATCACCAAATGGCTCCTCACTGGGTTTCTCTTGAGGGTCCAGAATCACTCTCCTGTCACAGAAGCTGCCTCTCTCCACCACAGTCTTGTCCTCCTCTGAGCTGACCTCTGGGGCTGGGTCTTTCTCTTTCTGAGGAGTAGAGACCCTAATGTTCCTTATTGGCCCTCTTCCATGGGCAGGACGTTCTCCTGTATTTAGTTTTGCCCGAGCCTCACCCTTCCTCTTTGGCATAGCCTTTCCCAGGATGCCCTGGATGGCCTTCAGGTAGATCACTGTAGAGCCCTGGTCTCCATGCCTCTCCCTCCTCCTTTTCTGAATCTTGCTTGGCTCCTCAATCACACCATTCTGACCCTCAGCTTCAGTTCCAAATTCAGAGTTTGTCAAGTTATGGGAACTATCTTTAGCATCAACCTAGAATAATAAAAAAAAGAAACATCTTAAAAGGATAGTTCCTTATCTCAAGGATAGTTACATGTATGATGCAACACTCAAATTATGTATCAATGATGACTGATGATGTCATCAACCAAAGGGAAAAGTCACACTCGCACTGGTATTGTTGCAAAGACGGTTCCATGCCCTTAAATGAGAATTCCTACTGTAAAGGCCACTGAATTTCTGTCATTACTTAATACTTACCATCATATACACATTCTGATAATATAATACTGCAATAGAAAGGCATAAACTTACAATCCCAGAGGTGCACAGTTCAAATCCATCAGATGCTCTGCCGGGGAAGGAGGGACAATCTCCTCCTGTACCAGTCAGATCTGATTTGACGGTACATTCACACAAAAATAATAAAAATTAAAAAAGAAAAAAAAGAAAGGCATAAACTGGGATTTATACAAAACTATAAGATCCTTAAAGGTAAGAACTATCATATATTGTACCTCAGAACACAAACAAAACTGAGGTTCTTAAATTTAGCAGTGGAAAGGTGTGTGGCGCCCTCTGCAAGGAAAGGCTGTCCCACGGAGAGACAGCAATGATAAAATTCCCCATCTCCTGAGTATGGCACCCTTCACATGATACCCTAAACCCAGAAGGTCCCTGCACACACCTTCCCCCCAATCCCCACCGTGGTGCTAGCAGATGTCCTCATAGTACTGTACCAGGTCTATAAGGAGACTGAATACCCTCAAGATCTCCTCAGGGACGGAAAAATCACAGTGCCTCTATTCTCATCCACCTCGCCTTCACACCCACTCACTATGGGGGTCCCTGACAAAGCAGTTAGATTTTCCTGAAGGAATCTTTGTGACACAACAGTTAAGCTAAATTAAAAGATGGACTTTTGAACCCACCCAGCTCCACAGAGGATGTGGCGCTCTGCTTCCCCTAAGCTGTGGAATTTAACAGAAGAGTAAACAAATGCTGGCAAGGTTGCAAGAAACTGGAACCCTTATTCACTGTTGGTGGGAGTGTAAAATGGTGCAACCAGTACGGAAGGCTGTGTGGCGCTTTCTCAAAAAGTTGCAAATAGAGATACCATTTGACCCAGCAATTCCACTACTGGGAATTTATCCTAAAGAAACCATAACCACCAATCAAGCAGATATATGCACACCCATGTTTATCACAGCTTTGTTCACAACAGCAAAGAGCTGGAAACAATGTAAGTACCCATCAACAGATGAATGGATAGAGAAGCTCTGGTGTATTCACACAATGGAATACTATGCAGCACTGAAAAATAA